TACCCGTTAGCAATTTTCATCAGTTTGCAGCCCACTTTGAGACCTGCTCGGCAGCCTCCCTGCCCAGTGTCTGTAACCTCTCCCTGCAGGCCCTCCAGGCTGACGGGCTGTAGGTGTCCAAACAGTCACTCTCTTGTGGGACACACATGGGCGACTCCCAGAGGGCCCTGCAGGGCCACCTCACCGTGCTGACACCAAGGAAGGCACAGTCTGTCCTCCAGCCTCTGCATCGCTGTTTTCCCCAGGGCGCTGTGAGAACCCTCCCCAGGGCTGTGCTCACTGGGGGGAACTTCGGTTTGTCTACTTGACTCGCGGGATGCTCACGTGCCTTTACAGCAGGGAAAGGAAGGCATTCAGGCCCCATAGCAGTCCTTCTTTGCTGCCTGCTCTCTCTCTCCCTTCACCCCTGCTCCGGGGACAGTGAGGAGCTCAGGCAGCTGTCACAGGAGACGTCGATGCCCAGTGTCCTGGTCCCTGGTCTTCTGATTTCCTCGATAGCTAGGGACAGTGTCTGCTCAGGCAGCCAGCAGGTGCCTCAGGTTTATCTGAAGCTGAGTGAGGAAGGGTGGGGAGTGGAGAGCGGCGCTGAGGGCACCCTTCAGCCAGTGCCGTCCACTCAGCCCCGGGGGACAGAGCCACACTTTTTCTAGAAGGTTCCTGTGCCCCTCCTCCAGCCTGCCCACTCACAAGGACGTCTGAAGGGGTCGCTTAGCCGAGCCAAAGCGTGGATCTGGGCCTGGGTGTGGGTGCTGGGCTGGGAGGAGGGCACCACGTCACTGTAGGTTTGTCACAGGCAGCGGCTTGTGGGTGGCCTGGACAGGAACCAGCCGACTGGCGGTGGCTGCATTCTGTGTTCGATGGGCAGAAGCGCAGCTCACCACTTCACATGGTGACGTTGTCCGAGCCGGGAAGCTCTGAGCGGGGTGGACTGCATGCTCTTCTGCGGCGCGGGCTCTTCCTGTACAAACGGGTGCCGTTCTCGACGTCATTCATAAAGACAGCAATGGAGGAAGGCCAGGACGTTTCCAGGCCCAGGTGGGCCCAGGTGGGCCTGTATGAAATCCAGAGTCTAAGAATGCTCCCGAGACCTGAGTCCCCACCGGCTGCGAGGGCTGTGCTGCCACTCGCCCCAGCCCTGAGGATCTGCTCATTTTAACTCTGATTAGTTTGCAGCGACGACGCTAATTTGCACTGTCGTTAGGGATTACACGTTGAGAGTTATTAAATATAAAGGGAACAACGCTGCAGGAAGAGGGAGCGTGACTCGGAGGACTGAGGGTTTGGAGACGGGAGCCCGTCCCTTGCCTCATTCCTGAGCGTGCGTCTCCTTAACCATCGCTCAGCCATCTGCGATCGCTCCCTGTTCCCGAAGTATGAGAGCTGTGGCTAATCACAGGGGCTTGTTCTCAGGGGTCAAGTAATGAATGTGATTAACGGTAATGGGGGGAGTCCCCAGTTACCACCTGCAGCTCTTCTGCAGCTAATTTTGAATTCTGTGTTGATTTCCTTCAATGACTCCTGTCCAGACCCAGATGGTACCTATTTAGAAAATCCAGGAAACTCTTTATTTGGAGAGGCTTTTGCTATAGGGCGCGTGGACTCACCAGACAGAGAGAGACAGAGAGACAGAAAGGGAGAAATCATCCCCCACGGGGAATGGCCATGCCGCGATCCCTTCTCCTGCATTCTCCTCTCAGGATCTTGGGCATACACGCACACGTGCCCGGCGTGAGTTTTAAGCCACTGGGTCTGGGACTTGAACCGCGGTCGCCTACATGGGAGTCCAGCGACATAGCCATTATGCTAACTGCTGGTCCCAAGGAAACTCTTAATGTTAGTATGAGCAGAGAAAATTGGGAAATGGTGCAAAGGAGTGATACAATGCAATAGAACACGGACTATAAATGACTTGCGGGTCGCATCCTTTTTCTGCCCTTTCTCCTTCCTGGAGGGGTTTTAGGCACTCGCATGGCCAGCTGTGTGTTCCTCAAGCCACGTAGGCTGGGTGGGATTCGCACCATAGCTGGCCATGTGGGATCTGGCTCTCTCAACCACCGCACTTCAGGGCTGGCCCGAAGTTAAGATAACTCTAAAATTTAACAAATTTTAAGTCTCCTTCTTTTTTCCTACTTCCACCAAAGAATTATGGTTTACAAAAACCTTTGCCACTTAGTAAAAGATGGTATTCTGTGTTGTTTGGGTCTGCATTTAAAACCGAGGTTGGTGACAAACATTTTTGCAGATCATTCTTTTCTGATTCCTTTTCTAGAATTTCCGATTGGCATGCTTGTCTTTTCCCGGATTTGTTAGGATTCCTTCTGTCTTTGCAGGTTTATCATAACACACGTGGCAATGTTTATCCCCGACCTGTTTTTGCCTGTTAGTTTTGGTTGATGGTGTTTCCTTAGCGCTCCCTTGAATTGCTGGTACAGCGTGCCCACTGCCTTTTTAAAGTTTGCTGAAGGGCACGTGCTCTCTTCTGGGATTACACACATACTCAGTGTGTTTCTCAAGTTGCTGATTTTGGAAGTTGAACCTCCCGGTTGGCCAAGTGGGACCCAACTGCCTTCGCCACCGTGCCATTGGCTGGCCCTGTCCACCGGTCCTGGGTTAGAAATCGAATCCTTTAAGGAGGAGTTGGTCATTCCTGGGTGGTGGACACCTACAGGACTCTGATAAAGACATTTTCCCAACACCAGGCTCAAGCCTGGGCCATTTCTATCAACATCTGTCACCAAAACTGTCAGCTCCTGCGGGAATAAGAGAAGGAGCCAAGAGGTTTTAAGTAGCTTTTATTTTCTCTCACATGAGAGAGAGAGAGAACCTCCCATCGGGCCTGATTATGTTCCAATCCATTTCCTCCAGTTTTCCATCCCAGCAGGCTCCTGAGCTGGGCGGGCACTTGGTATATTTTTCACGTGCTGGTCTGGGACTCCGACTCCGGTCAGACATATAGGATCTGGCCTCTCTGCGCCGTGCTTAACGCTGTGCTAGGCTGTTCCTTTTCGAGGTCTTTGGCAGACTTTCAGTGAATCTTTTCTGAGAAGCCCTACCCCAAGTTTCACACCTTATTTTTTTAAATAAGCATTCTTTTTTTAAAAAAGAATTATTTTATTATTTGCTTTAGGGAATGTGCAATCACCAGAGATAGACAGAGAGAAAGTGAGAAAGGAAGCCGCCAGGTTTGGGACTTGAACTGCAGTCGGCCATGTGGAAGGGCAGCACCTTCACCACCACACCACTTGCTGGCCCTCACTCGTTTTTAAAATCTCCACAGCCATGCTCATCCCGGGAATTTGTCTGTTGGAATGGGCCAAGGCAGTGCTGTCCCACAGAGTGCCATGTGAGTCCCAGACATGATTTTTTTTTTTAGTGTTTCTCTTTCTTTTTTTAAATTTATATTTTAATGCTTAGCATAGGCTATGGGTTCTCAAAATATAAATAGTTTGCACATCAAACAAGTCAAAGATCTTACGGTACACAACCACTTTGCATTCTTGTGTCTGTTAAATGTCTCCTTTTCCTGAGCCTCTCCTGCCCACCCCCAGCTGCCCGCCGCTCCTGTCTCTGCGCTGCACACTTG